TGGGCCTCAAGACTGTTGACGGGCATCGACAAAAAGTCTGTCTGTATATCTCTCTATCTATCTCTTCCTCCCTCACTTTCTCTCCAAATTTACCAATTCTCTCTCTCTCCCTCTCTCTCACCTCTCAATCTATCTCTCTCTCTCTCTCACCTCTCTATTTCTCTCTCTCTTTCTCTATCTCTATCTCTATCTCTCTCTCTCTTTCTCTCCCTCTATCTCTCTCTCTTTCTCTCCCTCTCTCTCTCTCTCTCTCTCCATTTCCAGGAGGGGGAGCCTGAGGAGGAAGACCGCCTTTGGAAGCCGGGGGAGGACGTGAACATCCGATCTCCCTCTCATTCTCCTACCTCCCTTTTCATTCCCCCCCTCCCTTCCTCTCATTCTCCTACCTCCCTTTTTATTCCCCCCCTCCCTTCCTCTCATTCTCTACCACCTCCCTTTTTATTCCCCCTCCCTCTCCCTCATTCTCATGTTCTCCCTCTTTTCAGGTGAAAGTGATGCACAAGCAGGACGTGAACATCCTGGCCGATCGGTTCAAAAAGGTCTTCGTCCCCGACCGGCATACGGCGACAGACGAATCTCTCTCTGGAAACTCAGGGGTCGCATGAGCTACCGGACCCATAACCCGATGCAGACGGTAATTGTTGCAAACATGTAATTGAAAGGATGGTAGATGCAGACGGTAATTGTTGCATAAATGAAGGGGGTCAACCTGGGAGGCCAGCTGGCGCAGTCGTGGTATAAGATTTTTTTTTATCTCTATGATCTGGCGACTGTCAACAGTCATGCTGTCTATAAGAAGCAGACGGTCGGAGCAGATTGACTTCCGTCTAGACCGTACACCATGTCAATAACCAACGCCATGCCAATAATCAACGCCATGTCAATAATCAACGCCATGTCAATAACCAACGCCATGCCAATAACCAACGCCATGCCAATAACCAACGCCATGTCAATAACCAACGCCATGTCAATAACCAACGCCTTGTCAATAACCAACGCCATGTCAATAACCAACGCCAACAACCAACTACCTTCCCCTACCTTCTTGTGTATGTATATATATATATGTGTGTGTGTATGTATACATACATACATATACCCGCACATACAGCCATATCTGATAAAATACCTCGATAATGAAACCAGCAAGAAAAATGTAAAATGAATGGAAATAGTGGCGGCGTAACGGGCGAGCAGGAGGATGGGCAGGCGGGCAGACGGGCGGGGATTAACTACTACCTCCAAGATGTCTCGAGCCTTACGGTGGGAACCCGGGCAGGGGCTGCCGGGCTCTCACTCGCTTCGCTTTTTTCTCTGTCTTTCTTTGGCAGGACACGCCACGCCGTAAGGGAGACGCCTGGCGGGGAATATAGGTGTTTCCTTTGCTACAGGAAGAGGAAGAGGAAAATACCGAGGACCAAGAAAGAGAAATGTGAAAAAGAAAGAGAAAAGAGAAAAAGAAAGAGAAAAGAGAGAAAGAGAAAGAAAAAGAGAAAAAGAAAATGATATAATGGCAATAAATAAAAATGGTAATGGTAGAATTCTGTTTCTGGTTCTCCTTTTTTCTTATATAAAAAAACAAAAAAAAAAAAAAAAAAAAAACAGCAACTTTTATCATTCATAAATAAGCTAAATGAACTCTATTCTCTCTTACAAGTCTCGTATGAAAGAAAAAAAAAAAAACCACTAAACTTACACAGCATAACCTCTCTTATCAATACCAAGTTGTTATTGAGCTTCAAAGTGACGCTACATTCACTGCTTCTCTTCCTTTTCTGTTGAAAATAAGAAAAAAAAAAAAAAAAAAAACACGGTTTGATCTTTCATACGGACAATGCACTAAATGCCATGTTTGGGCCACCCCTGCATTTATTCTGGTCTCTCATTATTTACCTACACCCCTACTTATCCCCCGTCCTCCCCCCTCCCCCCCCCACCTGTCATCACTCTGCCACACCCACGCCTCAAATCTTCCCCCCCCCCTCCTCCCTCTTCTCCTCCTCCTCCTCCTCCTTCGCCTCCTCCCTCTTCTCCTCCTCCCTCTTCTCCTTCTCCTCCTCTTCCTTCGCCTCCTCCCTCTTCTCCTTCTCCTCCTTCGCCTCCCACCTTCTCTCCCTCCTTTCTCCCCCTCCCTCCCCCCTATTCTTACCTTCCCTTTTTCTCTTTCACTCTCCTTCACTCTACCTCGCCTTTGACACTTTCCCTTAGTCTGAATCGACGTTTAACCCCTTGGTGCCGGGTGACGCCGATCGGCGTGTAAACAAAGCGCTCGAAAGCTGGCGTGCTGCCGAACGAGCCGGCGGCGCGCCAAAGCGCGGCGAGCCAGTGATTCGGGCTGATGTCCCCTACTCACGCGCCGCCTTTGTTTGTTTAAGCGTAGAGTTTTTTTTTTGTTTTGTACACCCGGCGCCATTGGGTTAAAGCCCAAATATGGCTCTTTTTTTTCCTTTTTTTTTTTTTCTTTTTTTTTTTTTTTTTACTTCTGAGCATCAAAATGATATTTGGCTTGCTGCTGAGTTTCGTATTTTTGCTTCATTTGAAAGTTTGAAGAAAAAGAAAGAAAGAAAGAAAGCCAGAAAGAAATCCCGTGGTGCCGGAAAAAATCCCGTGGCGCTAGAAAAAATCCCCTGGCGCCAGAAAAAATCCCCTGGTGCCAGAAGAAATCCCCTGGCGCCGGAAGAAATCCCCTGGCGCCGGAAGAAATCCCCTGGCGCCGGAAGAAATCCCCTGGCGCCGGAAGAAATCCCCTGGCGCCGGAAAAAATCCCCTGGCGCCGGAAGAAATCCCGTGGCGCCAGAAGAAATCCCCTGGCACCAGAAGAAATCCCCTGGCGCCAGAAGAAATCCCCTGGCGCCGGAAGAAATCCCCTGGCGCCGGATGAAATCCCCTGGCGCCAGAAGAAATCCTCTGGCGCCAGAAGAAATCCCGTGACAGGGCCCACGCGGTTGGCATCTATTCCCGTAAATGGGGTTCAGCGACGAGCAAAAAATTCCGCGGCGAATGGGTTAACTAATAATGATTAATTATCTTAAGTAATAATACTCGATAATTAGTTGTCTTAATTATAGTTAATTATATCCTAGTATCAAATAATAATAATCAATAAATATCTTAACTAATAATAATCAATAATTAATTATCTTGATTACAATAAGCTATAGATAATTATATCCTGGTAACTAATAATAATCTTATTATCTGAACTTATAATAATCAATAATTAATTGTCTTAATTATAGTTAATTAAATATAACTTTAATCTAGTAACTAATAATAATAATAATCATTAATTATCTAATTATTTTGAGTAACGATCCTAATAAATCAACAGTTATTAGTTTAAATTAAATTAATTAAATTAAATCAGCAGTTATTGATTACTGGAAATTATTAGAAAATCATTATTAATATTATTATTATTATTATTTTTTTATAATCATTATATTTATTATTTTCATCATTATTCATAATTATATCATTATTATCATTATATTTATTATTAACATAATTATTATCATTATTATATCATTATTATTATTATTAGTCATTATCATTATTATTATATTATTATTAGTCATTATCATTATTATTATTATATAATTATTATGATCATTATTTATTATTATTGTATTATTATCATTATTCATTATTATTAACCCATTCGCCACAGATTTATGTTCTGTCCCCTGTTGGTTTGGGTGAATTTTGCTACCTACAGATGGCTCCACATGTACTCAGCCGACAAGGAGTCTATCAGTAGGCCCTAGTTACCGACCCTGATTTTCCCATTCATTGAACTGGCGGGAAAATTAATACCATTGCTTTCGATGCTGTTATTATTGTTACTGATGTTATGATGATTGAATTGTCATTAGAATATTTTTGACAATGAAATGATACAAAAAACCCTTTCCGAAAGTGAAGGAAAAGGCTAAACAGGTGAAATAGGTAGTTCTTGATAACTGGCTATTTGGTGATTAAGAACTTGTACAGCCATCTAGGTGTAAATACAATAAATAAACGTGTATCAAAGTGGGTATGGCATCTATTCTTGCCAACCGCGGCGAATGGGTTTATATTCCATTATCCATTATTCGCAATTCCTGATATCAAACAATGGCAGTGACTCTTTAATGAACTAATATTAATAGCTATTGGTCATTATCATCATTATCATTAATTAGTTTAATTAATTAATTAATCAAGCAGAGGATGATAATAGGTGAGGCTTGTAGAAAAAAAAAAAAAAATCTTTCTCTGTCTCTCTCTTTCTTTATTTTTCCTCTCTCTCTTTCTTTCTTTCTCCCTATTTCTCTTTCTCTTTCTTTCTCTCTCTCTCTTCTTCCTCCACCCCCTCCTCCTCCTCCCCTTCCCCCTCTCCCCTATCCCTTCCCCTTCCTCCTATACCTCCCCCTCCCCTTCCTCTTTCTCCTCTTCCCTTCACCTCCTCCTATCCTCTCTCTCTCTCTCTCTCTCTCTCTCTCTCTCTCTCTCTCTCTCTCTCTCTCTCTCTCTCTCACCTGTGCGAGGTCTGCAAAGGCATCACCCAGTCTCTCCCCCTTTCCTTCCTTCTATCCCTCCTCTTCCCTTCACCTCCTCCTATCCCCCCCCCCTCTCTCTCTCTCTCTCTCTCTCTCTCTCTCTCTCTCTCTCTCTCTCTCTCTCTCTCTCTCTCTCTCTCTCCTCTTCCCTTCACCTCCTCCTATCCTCTCTCTCTCTCTCTCTCTCTCTCCTCTTCCCTTCACTTCCTCCTCTCTCTCTCTCTCTCTCTCTCTCTCTCTCTCTCTCTCTCTCTCTCTCTCTCTCTCTCTCTCTCTCTCTCTCTCTCTCTCTCTCTCTCTCTCCTCTTCCCTTCACTTCCTCCTCCTCTCTCTCTCTCTCTCTCTCTCTCTCTCTCTCTCTCTCTCTCTCTCTCTCTCTCTCTCTCTCTCTCTCTCTCTCTCTCTCTCTCCTCTTCCCTTCACTTCCTCCTCTCTCTCTCTCTCTCTCTCTCTCTC